ACCTCGACTTCGGCTGGTTCCGCGCTGCCTTGCCCTTGCCGGTCGTCGTCTTGGCCATCATTTGTTGTCCATATCGAATTGAAAAAGAAACTAGGGTAAACCTCGTGTTTTCTTGGGGCAGGTTTTGGTCGAGCTCTTTGGTTGAGGTTTTGCATTGGGGGAGCGTGCAATCTAGCGGAGGGATCGTGCACTACGTGTGACGTAGTTTGGACTCGGGGGACGGGATCATCTGCATTTGAGTTCAACGTACCCTGCCCCAAACCTCGTGTTTTCTTGGGGCAGAGTGTGGTTGGTCTTTGTGGTCGAGGTGGGGCATACATGTAGGGCCGGTGGGCCATCTAGCGGTCTTTCTGTGAAACATGAGTAGTGGTTTGATTCGCGGAGAAGGTTTGCGCAGGTCCTGGCGCGCTTTTTGATTTCAGTTTGGTGTCGGGGCCGCGTGCAACCTAGCGGTATGTCTGTGTCGTAGCTTGGACAGTGTGGATGTCTTCCACCCTTACGGGCTCTTGTACTATGCACGTCCAACGCGCCCCTCTTACTGCAAACACGCATTCACATGGCGAATGTGTGACGGACGCGTGCGACGGACGCGACCTCTGCTTCGTTGCGGTGCAACCTCCGCTGTGCTACGGTGCACCTGGTGGACTCTTTGTAGGGCTCCAGTGGAAACAACGTCGAATTCATTTTCCATTGTGTGGTAAGGGTGCTGCATCGTCCTAATCTCGCTTAGATGTGGATTATTGTTATTGTTAGAGCCATCGCCGGGAAGAGCTCTTTCTTAGCCGCTTCAACCTTCGCATCGTTTCGGCACTCGGGTCCAGTACTGCATAGCAGGACGCTTCATGCATAGAGACCACAGCAGCTTGATCAACATTGCAGGATGTATAACGTTCATGAGGTGGTTGAAAGAATCGCTCCTCGGATTTGCAGGCCCAGCGATTCTACTGTGACGGGCGCGGCCGCTCGACGCGCGCGCTTCGCCTGGAGGCGCAGTGGCGGTCACGGTCGACGCCTTGGTTCGCTGCCGTCGCCTCTGCCCCGCGTCGATTTTCCGCTTCAGCTCCTTGGCCTACTCGATCGGAGTCGATGTCGGCAGGGCGTATGCAGCGTGGCGATTCCACTGCTCGCACTTGCGCTGCGCCTCCGAGACTGGCGGCCCCACCATGGCCGGGTGTTCTGTTCTGTGCTTGGCGCGCGAATTGCAATAGAAACCTGCAAAGCGAACATAACATCCAGATACGATGACAACACCGCAATCTATCTCATGGATCTAACACCACGCGAAGTGTTGAGGTCCCGCACTATCGCGCAGGCCCCAACGATATCCAATGCACAAGCTACGCTTGGGATTGGCGCTGCGCGCATGGCCTATGGCCCTACCGCGCTACCGCGCGGACCCCGGCTATCGCCGGGTCGACTCGCTTCGCTCGTGGCTCGCTGCATGCGGGTTGGCCAAGGTGCGTATATCCGGTTAAGTTCGTTTCCGTTCTTAACCGGCATTTTGTCCACCCAATAGTCAAATTAAGATACGTCTTGACGACATTGACCTGCCACTCGTACTTAACCGAATTCGACACTTCCCGACCCTTCCCGACGCGCTACGCACGCCGGAACACCATGTTGAGACTTCATTTTGCCCTACCGTGCTATCGCACGGGCCCGGCTACCGCCGGGTGCCCTCGCTGCGCTCGTGCCGCGCTTCGCGCAAAAAAGTCGTTATTCAATTAAAAGATAGATATCTGGTACCCCTTGAGAGGTTTATTTCCACCCCATATCTTTGAACCATTGCCGGGTTTGAATTCGCATATTCAAGTACATTTTATCAGAATGCATTTCAAACTCGCTGTATTTTTATACTTTCTTGGCGAATCGACGTTGCGGTTTTCTGTTGACAGAGTCTCAGCTGCTGAACGCAAACGAGATTGGCGTCGGACAGCAGAGCGTCATGGCCCATCTCCGAGCCATTTGACTGGCATGGTATCCTCCGGATAGCTGTCGCTGCCGCGCACCACTTCTTCGAATGTTGTTGTATCGCATCGCCTTTGCTCATCCTAGAGCTGTACGCGTAATGATGGGGAATTCGTTGTCTATCCTGGATCGTGGAAAGCGGTGTGTGGTCGAGGCGACCAGAGACTGGTTCCGGCCGTTCTGGTTACGTTGGTTTTGCGGCAGAATGCATCTCGCCCACCAGAACCCTAACCGCATTCGTAGACGGGACACACCATGTTGACGAGAAAGTTCAACTAAGATCTTATCTGTTGGCCTGTGCAAGGCTTTGGTTATACGAGAGTCGTGACGTCAACTAGGCGCCAAGCCAGTGGTGCTCGCCAACCTGCCAGCCAATGGTCGCGCCGGACGAAATCCCGAGGAAGAGGCCGAGGCACATGATGGCGCCCGCCGACTCGCGGTCTTCCTGGGCCACGAGGCGCGGGCCGAGACCAAACGAGATGGTGCTAAGGACACCCGTCGAGAGACCGAGGAGATAGTTGACAAAGAGCTGCCAAAATACGTTGAAGTCGTGTGCGCTCGCCATGCAGTAGAGCGGGTTGAGGCCGCCGCCCGGGAGCCCGAGCAAGAGCAGCACAAAGAGGCCCCAGCGCACGATCGACCAGAGCAAGCACGACGCGAGTGTAAAGTACTTGTACACAAACGGCGCGAGGAGGCGGCCGGCAAAGTCGCCATAGTTGTAGCTCAGAAGAAAGCCGTTGATGTACCAGCCGCCCCAAGTCGCGGCGCCCGCGAGCTGAAAACCAGACGAGATACCAATGCCGGGGAAGGCCGTGAGCGAGCACAGGAAAATGAGAAACTGGCACGCAACCGGCACCGCGATCGTCGTCGCGATGCGCCAGAGACGCGCCCACATGACCGGGAACGACTCGCGCAACGCCTGCCGGCGCGCTGTCTCGGCATCGTTGAGCTCCATCAAGCAGGCGACCGCGGGCAGCTGCAGCAGGTTGTAAAAGAGGCATACGGCCATAACGCACACAACGATGAGGACGCTGAAGAAGATGTAGAACGAAATCTTTTGGATCTGCGCCGTGTCGGCCGGCGCGGGGTCCAACCCGCCGATGCAGAGCTGGAAGAGCGTGCTCAGCGTCACGTTGATGACGCCGGACGTGCCATTGCCGAGCATCATTGCGTTTGTGAACGCGGCGTCCGGGAAGAGCGACGAGAGCGCGTAGAGCGCCGCTTCAGCGAGCACATTGGTGAGCCCCACAAGCCCAAACGACATCAAGACGATGGTCGCGCCCGTCTCGGGCGTCGCGTCGCACGTGTCTTGGAGGATGATGGCGAGCGCGCAGAGAATGCAGATGGCGTACCCGAGGCAGACGCGCGTCCACATGCCGAGCTTCTTGTCAAGGCCAAAGACGACTTGGAAAAAGTGGCCCACAAACAGGGGCCACGTCGAGACGGGCGTCGTGAGGAACGCAAAGTTGAAGGACGTCGACGCGAAGCGCGACTGGTAGTAGTTTTGCGCCGACAAGAACGTATAGTACCCCCAGAGACACGACGCTTCGAGGAAGAGGAACGACCACCAGAGAAAGCGGCGATGCGTCGCGAGCGCCTCGACGACGTGCGCTGGGAGCTCGTCCTTTGTCGTCTCCGCGTCGTTGACGGAGAGGAGGTTGGCGTCTTTGGGCGACGCGTCCATGGTGGAAGCTAGCTAATGCGCGAATGAACTACACTGATACAATGTAGCAGCAAGAGACGCGTGGTCTTGTCGGTTCAGCGAGCCATCGATCAAGTAGTCGACGATGACGATCGGACGGGTTCAAGCATGGTGCCAGCAACATATTAGCATTTCGTATCTAATGTAGTCGAATCCTTACTGCTCACAGTGTTGAGGCTGCCAAGAGTCTTGGCCATTGGGGTCCGTCTACGTCCTCTGTGGTACCACCCAGATGCAGTGTGTGGTTGACTTTGTTTCGAGAAGCCAATCTGGACCGAGTTGTTTGATTCTAGTATGCGTTCTTGAAGTTTCCAAGCAGATCCTGCGCGCGGTCGTTGCCACAACCAAGGTTTGTGCGGTGGGTCGCGCACGATACTGTCATTTCCAGCACTATAGCAACCACTGGCGGCGACAGTCCGCTGGATTGGGCTAAGCCATGCGGGGCAAGTCCATGGTGGCGGTGGCTTCTCGGCTCTGTTAGCGAGCGCAGCCTTGAAGTGCTTTCACGACAGTCGTTGGAGATTCCACTTTGAGGAGACGTTTGCTCGTATTGACCGCCCACTCGAGTTAGCAAGGGCATAAATATATGCCGTTAGTACTGGGATGTTAAATGAGCTGCTGTTTCTTCTTGGTTCGCCGCGTCCGACGGCCACTCGGCGCCTCGTCGTCGCTGTTGTCGCTGTCAACGCCCTTTTCGTAGTCCTCTTCGTCAGCGAGGAGCGCGTCGGCCTCGTTGTAGAACCGCTTGCGCTTGCCCTTGGTTTTGGCACCGCGCTTGACCTTCTTGGCGAGCGGCTTGTCGTCGTCGTCATCTTCGTCAATGGCGACCACCTCGACGCTCGCACGCCGGCCGCGCTTCTTGGCCGACCGCGCGATCGGCGCGTCTTCGTCTTCGTCGTCGTCTTGGACTGAGAGATCATCGTCGTCGTCGTCGCTGACACCTTCGACGATCGCACCGCGGTCGTCCGGCAGGTGCTCCGAGCAGATCATCATGGTCGTCGACAGGCGCAGAATGCGCATCCCGCGCATGCACGACTCGTGGAACGCTTGCGCGCAGTGGGCGCAGCTCACGACAGGCGACTTCTTCTTTGTCTTGGTGCAGCCGTGGCAGTAGTGACTCGGGCACCGGAACCGCTTCTTCCCGACCCACTCGACCTTGGCGTGCTCGAGGACGCACGTCGTGTGATAGAAGCGACCGCACTTGGCCATCGAGCACTGCGTCACGCCGTTCTCCGCACCCATCTTGCCGACCTTGCCGCAGCACATGCACATGTGCTTGCCGGCCGTGCAGTCGGGGCAGAGCCACTTGGCGCCCGATGGCTCGGCCTTGAGACCGACGCACTCCATATGAAACGACCGGTGGCACGGACCGTCGCAGAGCAGAATGAGGCCGCCGTCGCCGCAGAGCGCACAAATATCGCCACTCGGAAGCTCGACGATCGGACCCGCCGGCATTTGCCGCTTGAGCGTCATCGACTCGGACTTCTTGCCGAGACTCTTGCGTCGACTGCTGGTCGATGCTGTCGTCACGGGCGCGGCTGGCGTCGCGCGGCAGCTGCGGACACGCGACTTGACGAGCGACTCCATGTACGCTTCGGCCACCTTGCGCTGGTCGGCGTTGAACACGTCCTTGAGCTTGAGGATCTTTTGGAGCACAGCAATCGCTATGTCGTACTCGTGGCCCGACGACCGCTTGTCCCAGACGTCCTTGCTGCTGCCGCCGCGGCTCGTGTCGGCGACGATACGGTCCATCGCATGGCCGAGGTTGGTCATAAACTTGGCTTTGGTCTGGCGCGACGCGAGCGCCGACCCGTCGTCGAGCTTGAGGCTCAGCATTTCAATCGAAATTTGGCCTTGCGCGAGCACTTTTTCCCAAAAGTGCGGGTCGTTGACGTCGGCGGTCGAGCCTTCAGCGAAAAACGACGACCTGTCAAACACAATGCCAGCCTTCTTCTTCGGGGCCGACGAGCTCGCGCCTTCGTCTTCGTCCTTGGCGACCTCGTTCGTCACGACGCGCGTGTTCTCCTTCAAGATGGTCTCAATGTCCCGCTCGACAAACGATTTCGACGCGTCGTCGTCATCGTCCAAGAGGCCATACGCGCCCTTCTTGAGGAGCTCGACAAGCACCTCGGCCGACGGGCGCTCGATCGCGTGCGCTTCGCTAAACGACCCGGTGCCCAGCACCGCGTGCTCGAGGCCGAGCTTCCGGGACGCGCGGTCAAACATCTGGCTCTCGTACGTGTTGCGCGTCACGAGGCGGTAGATCTTGACCGACTTCTTCTGACCAATGCGGTGGCAGCGCGACTGGGCTTGGAGGTCGTTCTGCGGGTTCCAGTCCGAGTCAAAGATGATGACCGTGTCGGCCGCGATCAGGTTGATCCCGACGCCGCCGGCCTTGGTCGAGAGAAGAAACACAAACGACTTGGAGTTCTTCTTGGAGAAGCGATCGATCGCCGCTTGGCGCGCGCTGCCGCTCGTCGAGCCGTCGAGGCGCTCGCACGGCATGTGCTCCTGCTCGCAGTAGCGCTCGAGGAGGTCGAGCTGCCGAATAAACTGCGAGAAAATGAGCACCTTGTGGCCTTCGGCGCGGAGCTTTGGGAGAAGCTTGCTCACGAGCACGAGCTTCCCGCTGGCTTGGATCGTCATGTTCATAATGTCGGCCGGTTCGGGCGCCACACCGAGCGACTCGAGCTCGCGCTCCTCAACGCCCTTGATCAAGAACGGGTGGTTGCAGCACTTGCGCAGCTGCAGCTGGAGGTTGTTGAGCGTCGGGAGGCTGTTCTTCGACCCAAGGTACAAGAACGACCGGTTCCGCTCGTAAATCGCGCGGTAGTACTGCTTCTGGAGCATCGTGAGCTCGACTTGGATGATGGTCTCTTCCTTGGGCGGAATGCTCTTCTCGACGTCTTCCTTCACGCGGCGCAGAAGGTACGGCGCAATCATCTTTTGGAGCTCCGTCACCTGCTCCTGCGACTGGAGCCGGCCGTACTTCTCGATGAACGACTCCATGCTGTCGAAAATGACGGGCTCCAAAAAGTTGAGCAGCACCCAGAGCTCTTGCGTGTTGTTCTGAAGCGGCGTGCCCGTCAAGAGGAGCTTCCGATCGACGTTCAGCGCGCGCATCTGCTTGAGGACGCGCGACCCCGCGCTCTTGAGCCGGTGCGCTTCGTCGACGGCCACGAGGCGCCAGTGAATCGTCTCAAACTCCTCAAAGTCGGCAAGGATCGTCTCGAACGTCGTGAGGAGCACGTTGAACTTGAAGACGCTCTTGGTCGTGGGCATGTTGGGGTAGTACCACGTCTGCGTTCGAATGAGCGTGCGGAGGTCCTTGCCCGTGCACTTGTTGTTGCGCTCGCCGACGTCATGGTACACGCACACATTCATGTCGGTCCAGTCTTCAATCTACGAGACAAAGCATGAGCTTTCCCATGCAGCAAAGAGGACAATGAAGCATCTACCTCGCGCCGCCAGTGCTGCAGCGTTGAGAGCGGTACCACGATAAGGAATGGACCGCGAATGTCCTCTTCGGTGCGCAAATGCTCGATGAACGAAACGACTTGGACCGTCTTGCCGAGACCCATTTCGTCAGCGAGGAGGCACGACCGCTTGGCCTTCCAGCACGAGATCATCCAGTTGAGGCCATCGACCTGGTAGCTCCGGAGCGTGCGCCCGCCCTTGAACGTCGGCGACTGCTCGTATGGGACAAACTCGGTCGGCGCCGCAATCATCGCGACCGCCTTGCGCTTGGTCGGCAAAAAGCTCGCAAAATGCTCGTGGGGGTCCAGCGTGCCCTTCATGATGCCCGCGAGCACGTGCTGCATCGGGCCATTGGGCGCTGCATAGTTTTCGAGCGCCGGGCGCGACGTCGGGCGCAAGAGCGGGTTGGACACGCGGACCACTGGCAGCAGCGAGAGATACGAGAACGGCACGTACAGCGACGGCGGCGTCGTGCCCACAAGCGGCGCGTCGTCGTCATCGAGCGGCGGCGGAAGCGTGATGTAGCGGCGCTCGATCGTCTTGGGCGCGCACGGCATCGGAAAGATGTGGGCGGGTCGGAGCGTGTGGAAGGTGAAGAGCACGTAGTTCTTCGACTCGGAGATGAGCGCCACGACGGTGGAAAAGGGGTGCTGCGCCGTCGCCCGGTTGTTGATGCCGACGAGAATGTCGCCCGGCGCAATGACGCCCGTGGCCTCCGCCGCGCCCATCATGCCGGTGGCGAGGTGCTGGAAGCCGAGCACGCGCGCACAGCCGTCGTCCGAGAGGCCGAGGCGCATTCCGAGGCCGCCGTCGGCCTTGGGAACGGCCACAAAGTACTCGGTGTAGCGCTGGTGCGGCCCAAACGTGTCCATCTTGAAGCTACTAAACGTCATTGGGTCGAGCATTTGCGTCGGCGCCTTTTTGACCTTGGGCTTAGGCGCCTCGAGCGTGATGGGATACCCGAGCGCGAGGTGCTCGATCATGCCGGCGAGAACCGAGCTCACCACGTCGTCGACGGCTTCGTGCTTGGTTGTCTCGTCGTCCTCGTTGTCTTCTTCGTCGCTCGACGCATCGTCGTTCTCGTCGCTGCCAGGCGCCGACTGGAAGAGCTGCGAGTACGCCGGCATCTGGATCGGGACGCGCTCGTCGTCGTCGTCGTCGTCATCGTCGTCGTCGGACGAGTCACCCGCGTCCGAGTAGTCGGCGTCGTCTTCCTTGGCCCGACTAATCGACGCGAAATGTTCCTTCTTGAGCACGTAGGCCAGCGCGGCGGCGCCACACTTTTTCAACACCGTGTGGTCCGGCGCGTGGTTGTGCAAAAGGCAGTGGAAGGCGAAGAGCTGCGCCTTGATCTGCTCCATCTGCTTGAGGTTGCGGTACTCGGCCGAGCCGTACGGTGCGTCGGCCGACTCGACGTGCCACTCGCGACTGCACGGACCGTCGTGGTCAGCGCCGAGCGTGCAAAACCGGTCGGCGGCGCAGTTGCTGCTTTTCGTTGGCCCGTTCCCGACGACCGCGTTGTGCTTGCCGCAGCACGGCAGCTGGCACGTCGTCTGCAGAATCTCCTTCTCGGTCGGGACTTTGTTGGCCTTGAAGTAGCGCACGATTTGGTCGTCGTCGCCAATGTCCTGGGCCCGCTCCCACGTCGCACACCGGATCGAGAGACCCCGCCATTGCACGAGGAACATGGTGTTGTTCCCAAAGAGGCGCGTGCTCTGGTGCCGAGAGTCGTCCGTGCGCGTGTCGCTGTCGAGCGTAAACTTGGAGGTGCCGGTGATCGCGGCCGTGAGCACGTGCGGGATCGAAGCAGGGACCGATGACGCGCTTGTCTCGTCGCCCTTCGGGAGCACCATGGCTTCGTATGTCATGCGGAGTTCGCAGTACGGGCAGTACCACTCGCCGTCTGGCGTCGCGTCGAGCGGCGGGTCCAGACACGCGAGGTGGATCTCGTTGTCGCAGCGGTCGCAGACGAGGAGCGCATCGTCGTCGTCGCCATCGACGCTCTTGCAGACCGAGCACCCGGGCTCCCACGGCTCCCACGAGTTGAGCGCGCGCGTCTCGTGGACTTCGCCTTGGAACTGCGCGAGGATCTCCGCGTCTTCTTCGGCGTCGCCCGTCAACGGCAGGAGCTGCCACGCCGACGGGCAGATGATCCATTCAAAAAAGAGCTTTTCAAAGTCGGCCAAAAGGCCTATCGCGGCCGTCCCGATCTCCGAGTCGTTGTCGTTGAACGCCAAGCAGTTGGTAAAGACGAGCCGAATGTCCGAGACCAAGAGGCCGTACGCCGAGGGACCTGTGCATGCATGAGATCGAGTCGGCGAGAAGCACGGTCGACGTACCGACGTAGTAGTTGTCGCGGCCGAGGCGCGTCTGGATCGTGCCAAAATCCATCGGGTTGGCGATCGTATCTAAATAGTCGGGTACTTGCTTGAGATTCACCGGCTCGAGGAACTCGGCCGACGCGGGGTCGGCCATGAGCCGTCGCAGAATGCCAGCGCAGCGGTCGAGGACGGTCGCGTTGTTCTGGATCAAGTACGCGTCCGTGACCCGCGGGTACTTGCGTGGATACGGGATCGAAGTCCGGCGATCGTCGAGCTGCTTCTCGACGTCTTCGTTCGTCACGCCGGTGCGGTGGTTCAAGATGGTCTCGACGGTCGCGTTGCCAATGTCGAGATCGTCGACTTCGTCCGTATCGGCGTACCCGTCCTTGGCGCACTTCTTGTCGTAGAGCTGGACCTTGTTGCGCTTGATGTAGCCGTTCGGGAAGAACGCTTCGACCTCTTCGTACGTCAACCAGCGCATGTGCAAGTGCGAGAGCCCGACAAACTTGCAGAGGTACTCGATCGCGCCCGAGCGCGAGTTGACGCGCCGGCCCAAGATGACGTCCAAGCAGAAGTCCTTCTGGATTGTGTTCATCTCCGAGGCCATCGCGGCCGCGCGCGCGGCCTTGGTCGGTGCTACATCGTCGTCGTCGTCGAGGTCCTCAAAGAGATCTTCCACGAGCGCATCGTACGAGACGTTGTACTTGGCGCTCTTCCGGCGTCCGCGGCCTCCTGCGGCGACGCCGGCGACCTCGGGCCCGTCGTCGCGCTCCTTGAGGTCCTGCCGGAGCTCCTGAAGCTCCATCTGCGCCTCATTCCGCTTCCGTCCGCTCATCTTCGGCCGCAAAACTTCCGATGGTCCTAATTTGCCCTAAATTACCGTTGCCAACGCTGGCCCAGTCTCGCTCGCTGCACGCCCGCGAGCAATCCACGGCATTTCATTGGATAAAAAGATGGAACGCACGCGCATCATTGGTCCAATTGTGCGAAAACCCGCGGCCAGTCTTTTTAGCCAATCAGCGCGCGCCAAACACGGAACGCGCCGCGGCCTGGATTTTCGAACGTGAGCCTCAAATGAGGACAGGACATCCGAAATTCACGCGCCATTTTCCCGCGCTTGCAGCACCGATCCTCACGGCTTCCTGGCGCCTGCAGCGCTCACGTCCGCCTTCTCTCTTGCTGTGCAGGCAGAAACGTGGTAGCGTCGACGCGTCTCGCGTCACCACTGTCGCCCCGGTCGTTCCAGGTGTCAAGAGCCGCAACGCCGTCTTCGCCACGTTTCTGACGTGGCACGTTCGCACGCCATCACTTTCAAAGCCAATACATGGGTCTCGCGCGTCGTACCAACTTTGAGAGGCAAGCGTCGTCGCGCCCAAGAACGGACAAGTTGTCTTCGAATCTACACCGGAGACAAGCGTCTCTAACGATTCTTCGACGGCGCCTTGCTTATGGCAAGCTTGCATCGACTCTGGCAATGGGCCAAGCGGGTCGCACTCGGTACGGACGGCAGGAACTGCAGCACAAAGAGAGCAGCGCTATCCTCTCCTATAGTAGTACTGGCTCAACTGTCTTCCTCGTCCAGCGCCGTTCTGTATTCATACATTGTGTAGTTGCACTAATCTCGCTCGACTAAGAATGGTGAGTCTACGGCGGTAGTACCAACTGTAGTAGTATCGAGCTCGCAGACACCTCAAGCCGCAATACAGTGCCACGAGTATGAGTCAAGCAAGTCAGAGACTCGATGTCCCCTGACAAGTGCAGGTCTCACGCTTGACCACATACGTTGCATTATATAGGGTAGGATACACGAGCTAAATTAGATAAAAAGATGCTTAGCCTTTGGTCGTCGAGGCAAACTCGATGCGCGTCAAGAGACCTTCGACGTGCGTCTGGTAGTAGGGCCGCCACCGGTGCTCGTAGAGCCACTTGCTAAACCAGCCCCACTGCCAGTGCTGCAAGTCGCCTTTGAAGCCAAACTGGCGCGCGTCCAGCATCCACGGAACCATCACGCGCTTGGCCTGTTCGTTGAGCGCCTCTTCGATGGGTTTTTGGAGCTTGGCGAGGTACGTTCGGTGCGTGTACGCCACGGCGAGCGCATTGCTCAAGTCGACTTCGTCTTTATCGAGGTTGGCCAACACAAGTCGCTCGACAGTCCCGAGGTACTCTGTGAGCTGGAGGAGGTACGTCGCCCAGAGCATGCTCGCCTTGCCCACGTCATTCTCTTTTTCGTACGACCGGTTGTGAAAGTACTTGATCGCGTCGAGCACTGCAAGCGTTGCGTCGTAGCCTTCCATCGTCACCGCGAGGCCCGAGGCGAGTGCTGGCTTGCGCTGGACAACCCGGGGCACAACGACCGTCCGCTTGATCTCGATCGCGGTCCGGACGAAAAGGGCAAACTCGGCGAACCAATCAAAGAAGAGGTCGACCTTCCAGCTCTGATGGAACGGGATGTAGTCGATCGAGATGAGCCGGCGAATGCGGACAAGCGCGTGACGGAGCGCTTCGTGCGGCATCAGAAAGATCGCATCGAACCACTGCAGCGTCTGCGCGGCCTGCTTTTGCTGCAGGTACGGCGACAAAATCGCGTTTTCCCGCGCGCGCAAGTCGACAGGCGACGTGGTGCGCGCCACATACGAGCTGTACACGGACGACGTGTGGTCGTTCGAGTTGGGACCCGACATGGAGCCTTTGAAGCTCCGGCTCGGACGACCGTTTGCGTGGAACGGCGTGCGAAGTGGCGACGGCGGTGGCTTGAGGCCGTCGTCCATCGCCTCGACCTCGAGCGAGAGCCGCGCGGCGTGCTCTTCGATCGGCGTCATCGGGTACGGCTCGCACTCATGCTTGGCGCCCTTGGTTGACGCAACCTTTTGCATGTGCACGCGCGCGAGCTCCATTGCATGGAGGTACGACTCGAGCTCGCCCTCGGTTTCCGACCGGGACGTCCAGACGCGCGACGCCCAAATATTGACATTGTCCTCGTACGACGAGTCGTCATAGTAGAACGTCGGGTGCTGCTCCGACTGACTCGACTCGTCGCCGCTCGCGCCACCGACCAGCGGCATCTTGAACGACGCCTCCGAGCTGTCGTCGTCGCCCGCAAAATCAAAGTTGAAAAATGGCTCTTCTAGCCCCGCGAGGAGCGTCGGCTCAAAGTTCGAGTTGAGAAGCGGCTCGGAAATCGTCTCCTTGTGCTTGGGCAAGAAGAGACTCTGGCGCCCCGACTCTTCCTCGTAGTACATGTGGGACGAGGACGCCGAGAGCGGCGGCGGCACGTCCGAGCTCGACGTCGAGCCAGAGAAAACGCTATGCTGCGCCACGTCGGCAGATGGCCCCGAGAGAACGTAGTTGGCGTTGACGGCCGTCTGCACGCTGGAGCTCGTACTCGAGGGCATGTGCGAGGTCGTGGCCGAAAGGACGTCCGACTTGGTGGACGAGAGGACGTCCGAGGTGGCGCCCGAGAGCACAGCGACGGAGGCACCCGAGAGCACATTAAAATCGGTGCTCAGCGGTTGCGAAGTGGACGTCGAGAGCAGCTCGGACGACGATGCGTCCGATCCCGACGAGGGTCCGTCCCGCGCCGGTGTCTCGGATTGGAACGACGAGAAGAGCGACGAATTGTTGGACCGGATCGGCGCGTTCGTGCTTGCCTGGTATTGGGCCGACGTCGGGTAGATGAACGACCGAGGTGACGCGTCCGGGTGAAAGAAGGAGGGTTCGGACGACGTCGGGCTCGCGATAAACGAGATCTCGAGGTCCGACTCGGCGGCGGCGTCGGTCATCATCGTGTTGGGAGAGGCGAAAAGACGACGACTGGCACACGCAAGACACAGTCGCGACCTGGCGACAGCTGCGAGACAGCGCTTCGGTGTTCCATTCCTATAATATGCGCCCTGTTTCTTACATGTATATTCACTTGGACTGCGACATCCGCTCTCCGTGCGTGGACGCTCGACGACGGCCTGCTGTGGCATCGCAGCCTAGCCTAGCGTTGCCAGGTTGAAGTCCGCGCCCTCGACTTGCTCGTCCGCGAGGCGCCCACACACGCCGAGGGCCGCCCACGCATGCGGAATACCGGCGGCTCGTGTCCTTGAAGTTGTTGAAATTATCGAGGCCAGGCGGTCGCGCTTTTTTCGCGTGACAAAGCCCAATGATAATGAAGCGATTTGATTGGCCATCGCAGTTGTATATATACACGAGCGGGTGCCACGTACGCTGTCGCTGTAAGCCACGGCACAAATGAACTACGGTGCGTCAGCCGTGCGATCAGTCGTGCGCAGTTGCAAGCAGCGTAGCTCGTCTCTTGCTGTCGACTCGCGAAGCCTGACCAGAGTTTTGAATCGGAACCCGGATCGCAACCAGCAGTCCGGACTACCGGTAGTGTGACGAAAGCTGTGACGAACGAGTGACTTTTCGGGCTTGTCGCGCAATGCAAGCCCTTACGCGACGTTGTGACATACATGTACTCGACATGTAGCCGCCATCATGAGAAGTTGACACCGCAGTGAGAGATACCATGGGTGTGAGCGTGATGGCGGACACCCATGCACGTCTGTATTTGCATGGATGGACGAATCGTAGTCGCAGTCGCCATGGTTCTCTTACGCCACATGGGCGATCACACAATACACCTGGACGCCTTGCCCTTGCTTGCACCACGATCTTCTGGATGGCGCTGAGCCATCCAGAAGTCCACGAGCCCAACAAGCGACGTGCTCCGCGTGGCCAAAACAAACGGTGTGCTACGCTTTGAGGGAGGCGCATTCGCATAGCTGGAAATGAAAACTGCAGCAAGCTGCGACGGCGCGTTGGCCCGGAAAAGTTTGCGCAGCAAAGGTCGAGCGAGTGCTGTGGTATATCTGGGAAACCGTGCTCGTTAAATGACAAACCCACTCGCACAGCTCAGGTAATGGGAACCTAGGCGGCTGTATCCTAAGTCTAGAGATCGATCATGTCGTTGAAGGTCCTTCTGCGATCTTCATACCAAATGCTCCACAGCCGACCCCTCGGCGGATTGTTCTGGATCTAGTAGTATGGGCATTTGTAGGGAAGTGGACTGCAGTCACTACCTGCCCGTCGTCAGTGGACAGAGTCGTAGAGGCTCACTTCAGCATTCGCTTTGTATCCAACGCGCTTGGCTTATTGAGTCGAGCCACCTCCAATTGTCGTCCTTCTCGTTGGATCGTATTGAAGTTCGCTTGCTTGCTATCTCGGAGTACAGCACAAGCGCCGACTTTTGTGCAGGCCAATGCGCCGTCGCAAATACCGCACGGGACCTGTCTGAAACCAATTTTCGGGGCCACGGTTTTACGGACCGCAGACTTGGCTGCTGCGGCGGCAGCCTCCACGGCGATGTGAATGGTTCATAGCATGGATGTTCAGTGGCGCTGCCTCGCCGCCAGCCCGATGATCGTCTCCAGGCGTCCAATTCACGTCCTCGGCAATCGGTGCGCAGAGCTACCGTCGAAAGCAATGGTCCATGAGGCGACTTTACCATGAGAGGCCCACGCATCGCTGTGTTTCACGACTGACGTCCTGGTAACGCTTGCAACAGCATCATCGCAGTCATTGTTCTTCGGGACCCAAATTTCTGTTCTTCGAGACCTCGTGTGCAGCTCTCACAGCAGCCTGCGAGCGCCAACAAGAGTCTCTGCGATCGACAGGTTCCAGGACCTTCGCAAATGAACAGCATAACCCGGCACCTCCTATCGCTTCGCATGTCAACCAACGAGAGCTCCGTCTATCGCCATGGAGAGCGCATTCCAAAGTAGCTCCACTCGAGCGTTTGCTTCGACGGGAAGAAACGCACGGCCAGCGACGAGTAGTCTTGTCTGCTTGGAGCCACACACTTAAGCTTGACTACACGTAGACTTTTCGACACACGAGGTTGTGGGCAGCGCTTGGCCAACCTGCCAAGAGAACGTGCTCACGGTGTGGCGCGAATCGATATCCGGATATAGATCGTTTGCGCATCTCGTGTATCCGGATGTTATGTTTGCGCGATCGCGCCAAGATCGTTTGCCGGTTGGATCAGATCTCAATTTGCACTTTGACCAGCATCATGTCTTCGCCGTTCGCCGCGTCGACGGCCTTTGCCGCCAACATCCAAGCCGTCCAGATGGCGGACCGCACCGAGCACATTTTGCCCGGCGGCCGCCACCTCTTTGGCCAGCTGCCCAAGGCCTTCGAAGGCGTCCAGCAGATCGGCGTCATTGGCTGGGGCTCGCAAGGGCCCGCACAGGCCCAGAACCTCCGCGACTCGCTCCAAGGTACCGGCATCAACGTCAAGGTCGGTCTCCGCGAAAACTCGAGCTCGGCGGCGAAAGCCCGCGCCGTGGGCTTCACCGAAGAAACCAATTCGCTCGGCGAGATGTACGCTGTGATCGCCGAGTCGGACATGGTGCTGCTCCTCACGAGCGATGCGGCGTGCGTGTCGCTCTACCCGACCTTCTTTCCGATGCTCAAGAAGGGGGCGACACTCGGCCTCTCGCACGGCTACCTCCTCGGCCACCTCAACACGGTGCACGAGTCGTTCCCGAAGGACATCAACGTCGTCATGGTCGCGCCCAAGGGCATGGGCCCGAGTGTCCGCCGCCTCTACGTCCAAGGCAAGGAGGTCAACGGCGCCGGCATCAACGCCAGTGTCGCCATCCACCAAGACGTCAACGGCCGCGCGACCGACCACGCGCTCGGCTGGAGCGTCGCGCTCGGGTCGCCGTACTCGTTCTACACGACGCTGACCGACGAGTACAAGTCGGACATCTTTGGCGAGCGCGGTATCCTCCTTGGCGGTGTCCACGGCCTCATTGAGGCGCTCTTCCGCCGCTACATGGGCCAGGGCAAGTCGCCCGAAGAGTCGTTCGTGCATGCGGCCGAGTGCATCACGGGTCCGCTCAACAGCATCATCTCGCACCACGGCATCAAGGCTGTCTCCGAGCAGTTCTCGGACGCGGCCAAGACGACCTTTGAAGACGCGTACGTGGCAGCCTACGGTCCGTGCCGCGACATCCTCGAAGAAATCTACGACGAAGTCGCGTCGGGCAACGAGATCAAGTCGGTCAACATGGCGGTCGCGCGCCACGGTACCTTTCCCATGGGCAAGCTCGACGGCACGTTCACGTGGAAGGTCGGCGAGAAGGTCCGCGCGGCGCGTGTCCCGTCGCAGATTCCGCTCGACCCGTTCACGAGCGGCACGTACGTGGCCATGATGATGGCGCAGATCGACGTGCTCTTGGACCACGGCCACTGCTACTCCGAGGTCGCCAACGAGTCGGTCATCGAGTCGACCGACTCGCTCAACCCGTACATGCACGCGCGGGGAGTGGCGTACATGGTCGATAACTGCTCGACGACCGCACGTCTTGGGAGCCGCAAGTGGGCACCGCGCTTCGACTACATTTTGACTGAACAGGCCTTTGTCAACGTCGACAACAAGGAACTCGCTGACCGTCACGAGCGCTTGCAGGCGTTCGACTCGCACAACATCCACAAGGTGCTCGACAAGTGCTTGCAGCTGCGCCCGACCGTCGACATTGCCGTCGAGTAGGCACTTTGACGCCGTCTAGTTAGTGTACTAGTATTTTGATAACTTCGACTCAATTTATGGATTAAAGATACGAACGTAACTCAAATGTCGGACCCGCACAAAGGCCAGAACGGCATTTAGTTCTACTTATAAGCCAAACCAATGGTCGTTGCTCATGCCCCAGCCCAAGGTCGAACCCGACGAGAGACCGAGGAAGAGCGCCATGACCATAAGCGCGGCAGCGGCTTCACGGTCTTCTTGCGGTACGAAGAGCGGCGCCTTCCCAATCGTGATGGTCGAGAAGAGGCCGCCGGTGACGCCCATGAGAAAGTAAAGCACGAGCACAAAGGCGTACGCGCTCCAGTGCGCGTCGCCAAACGCATAGAGCGAGCTCGAGAGAAGCGTCAGGAGCAGCAACGGGAGGCACAACCAGCGCAAAAGCGACGCGATCAAGCACGTCCGCATTGAAAAATACCCCGCGACAAGGTTCGTCGATGCCAGTCGCCCGATGAGGTCGCCGACGTTGAAGGGCGTCGTGACGCCCGGCGAGATGACCCACGGCCCCGACGACGACGTGATGATGTCGGTGGCCTGCACCGTGGACGCGATACCGATGCCAGGGTACAGCGACATGCTGCAAAAGAAGAGCATAAACTGAGCAAGCATGGGCACGACGATGACTCTTCCGACGCGGACAAACTTGGCCCAGAGGGTCGGGAGCGACACGTCTCCGTGCTTGAGGTGGTCGGAAGTCGCGCGATCGAGGAGGTAGCGCACGCACGGAATGCGCTCAAGGTGGCGGTAGACGAGGACGGCGCCGATCGCGACGAGCAAGAGGAGCGCCATGAAGATGAAGAACGAGATTTTGACGCTGCCCGCGGGGTCGGAGTCGTGGACGCCGCCGACACACAAGTGAATGAGAGCCGCCAACACAACGTTGAGGACACCGGCCGTGACGTTGCCGACCTGGATCGCATTCGTAAAGTGCGCGTCGGGGAAGAGCGCGGCGACGTTGTAGTAGGCCGGCTCGGTGAGCGAGTGGGCGGCGCCGACAAACCCAAAGCAGATCAAGACCATGGTGGCGCCGTTGGTCTGGCTCATGTCGAGATAGCCTTGCACGATGATGAGGACGCTTGCGAGACCAAAGATGGTGTAGCCGAGGAGGACGCGCTTCATGTTGCCGAGCGACCGGTCCAAGCCAAACCACATTTGCACGAGGTGGCCGATCGTGAGGGGCCACGTCAGGACCGGTGTTGTCAAAAACGCAAACTTGACGTCGGGAAACGCGCTCTTGTAGTAGTCTTGGGCCGTCAAGCACGAGTAGAAGGCCCACATGACCGAGCCTTCGAGGAAGAGGAGGGACGAATATATCACGACGCGGTTTTCCTGGATTTGGTCCAGGATAGACTGCGGAATCTCGGCCTCGAACTCGTGCAGCGGCGTTTTCACGTCCACGGCTTGGTGGTAATACTCTTCGTGGGGTAGACTCGTCATGACTGGATCAAATGAGTTGTGACGAATTGCACCAGGCAGCTTTGTGCCCGCTCCGCGTGCCACGTACCCCGTACCCATCCCACGTGACACACCGTCGTCAAGACCAAGCCCTATTATGGTTAGGCCCGCGATAGCGTAACCTCCATCGGTCCATGCAACCATGCAAGGCCACGAGCACCAAGCCGAAGACCGACTAATTCCTGGACCGTCGACTACAAGTAGCCATCGTATCAAAGGGCGTGTTCCTTCAACGATACTCCGCGATATCGGTCCACGCATGCTATAATAGCTCGTCGGCTACGCCGCGGGACCCTAACCGCTCTTCCTAAAATTTCAGCGCACGGTTAATCACTTTCGGCATGGCATACCGTGAGCGATTGCGCAAGGTCCGACATGCACGTTATTAAACGCGCCAAACAGCCAGTTAGTCTGGTATTTAACGTACTTTAGCCCCATTCGACAACCAAGTTTTTGCCATTTAACGCGCGACATCGCGACGTTGAACGTGATTGCAGGTGGCGCTTCCTGTAGCATGTTGCTGGAAGCGGCAGGAAGGTGCGACGACGCGGCGGTAACGAGCAGAGCCCCAGAGATACGTCCCAATGAGACCCGGCTTCAAGATCCAGTAGAGTCGCGGCACCATTCGACGAAAGCAAGAGGCTATAAGAAAGTGAATTTTGAGTTTTAAATGTTATCGTACCCACCAAATTCATACATTTTGCTGTGTGTCTCAGCACAAAACATGTATATTAATTGGGTCTTTCCTTTTTCTACTCGATCTCTACTGGCCCGTTGATTGAATCTTGTCGAGGTAGCCGCCTTCACTGCAGAGCTCAAAGAAGATGCCGTCGCCTTGGGCAATGAGGGTGCTTGGGCTGTCGCACTGGACGAGGCGGCCGTGGTCAAACACGAGGATCCGGTTGCAGTCCAAAACCGTGTCGAGACGGTGGGCGATCGTGAGGACCGTCGAGTCGGCAAACTCGGTGCGAATCACATGCTGGAGCTTCTGGTCCGTCGCGTGGTCCATGGCCGCCGTCGCTTCGTCCATGACGACGACCTTGGCGCGCAAGAGGAGCGCACGCGCCATGCACAGCATTTGGCGCTCGCCGACGCTAAAGTTCTCGCCGTTCTCCTCGACGTCGCTGCTCAAGCCGTCCTTCTCGGTGCGTTCGACCAAGTTGACCTTGCGCAGCACATTCCAGAGGTCGTCGTCTTGAAACTGGTCAAACGGGTCGAGATATTGGCGGAGCGTGCCCTTGAAGAGGACCGGGTTTTGCGGAATGATCGCAATGCTTTCGCGGAGCGTCTTGAGCCCGACCGATGCGCAGTTGACACCGTCGATCGAGATGGACCCGGCCGCGAGCTCGTTGATGCGGAAGAGCGCCATGGTCAAGCTCGACTTGCCAGCCCCCGTGCGACCGACGATGCCGACCTTTTCCCGGCCCCGAAGCGCGACGCAAACGTCCTTGAGCACGAGCGGGTCGTTCTCCTTGTAGCGGAAGCTGACGTTGTTGAACGTAATCGCGCCCTGCGACGGCCACGACTGCGTCGAGACGGCGCCAGGAATCACACGCGGCGCCTCCGGTGGGATCTGCGTGTACTCGATGATGCGCTCGGGGGACACCATGTTCTTTTCAATCTCGGACGCGTCTTGGATGAGGTACTGGAGGTTGAGCGGCACGTTGAGCGCATAGTTGAAGACGAGGCCGACAAGACCGGGCGTCAAGTACACGCGCGCGTAGACAAGCGAGAGCGAGATGACGAGGATCATGCTGGCCGAGAGGAGCTGGTTCTGGAGCATGAACCAGAGCTCGACGATCTGCTTGGCGTACACCGACTCGTTGTACCGGTTGACATTGCGGTGGTGAAGACGCTGGAAGCGGCGCTCTTGTTTGGCGCCAAACGCGCGGATGACGACCGCGCCGTCGATCGCTTCCGAGATCAAGTTGATCATGGGCGAGTACGTGACCTTCCCGAGGCGCTCAATCTCGCGGGCCGGTTGGAGGTAAAAGCTCCCGACGCGGTAGTAGACGTAAAACAGCGGCAAAATGAAAAAACTCAGCGACCGGACGACCACGATCGTCGTGCCCATCGCAAAGAGCACGATGAAGAACGTAGCGAGTACAAACATGAACGAGAAGGGCACGCCGACGTCGAGTGCGTTAAAGTCGCCCGCGAACCGGTTCAAAATGCGGCCGGTTGGATTCGTGTCGAAGAACTTCATCGGGGCGGCGAGGAGAGCCGACGTCATTTGGTCAAAGAGCGCGCGGGACGCCTTCCGACCCGCGAAGCCGACGCTGAGGATGCGCACCATGACGATCGACGCGCTCCCGAGCGAAAAGCACGCGTACACACCGACGTTCCACGCGGCGTTGGCCTGGAAGACGTCGGGCGACTCGACGGCCGACGACGCCGACCACTTGCTGAGCCAGAGGTCACCGCAGACCGCGAGGCCCTGCCATGTCGACTGGACGCAGAGCAGAAGCACGACGACCGGCCACCCACCGGCCGCGCGAAAGTACGCGCCAAAGACGTTGGATGAGACGCGGCCTTCGGAGCGAAACTCTTCGTCGACGAGTTTGCCGTGGACGAGCGGCTCTTCAAAGGTGCCGTCGGCGTTCTGCCGGGGCGTGTACACCATCTCGTGAAAGCCACCGGGCACGTACGGCGACCGCAGCGACGGCGAGAGCAAGTGCGGCGCGACATTCGAGATCGTGGTCACGTCATCCATCACGTCATTGTCGTCGTCGTCATCGTTGGTGTACGACATGATCGGGTGCGCGGCGAGCGGTGAAAGGGCCGAGTCGAAGGCTTCTTTGGCCGTGTTGACAGTTTGCTTGCAGATGCCGTTGCTGATCTCAATCGTACGGTCGATGTGCTTGGACGCAATGATCTCGGGGTTGTGCGTCACGAGCAGCACCGTCTTCTTGGACAAGAGGCCGAGAAAGCACTTGGTGAAAATCTCATTCGAGACGATCGCGTCCACCGCGGACAAGGGCGAGTCCAAAATGAACACGTCGCCGTCGTTGTAGCACGCGCGGGCGAGCGCAATGCGCGCTTTCTGGCCGCCGCTGAGGTTGACGCCCTTCTGGCCAATCTCGGTGCGGTCGCCGGCGGGGAAAGCGGCGAGATCTTTTGTCAACGCGCAGGCGTCAATGACAGCAGCGTACTTTTTGCGGTCGTACGGCTTGCCAAAGAGGATGTTTTCGCGGATCGTCATGTTTTGAATCCACGCCTGCTG